AAAAAAAAAAAAAGAAAAACAAGATATATATATATATATATCTACACCTGGTTTTGGGAAACTCCCATATGGGGTACCATGCTAGTCATGGGCAGATTAGTTTCTTCTTGCTGAATTTCTACCTCTTAGTGTAGATTTTCCCACCACCGAATCGCATGTAAGCTGCGATCAATATGTCCCACATAAAAATGGACATGGGCTATTAGTACTTATGGTGGAGTACCATCGGGACTTTACTGAATTACCAGAGGGACCCCTACATCCACGCATAGTTTTCACTTGACGACGCTAGTATCGACATTTGATCATGCAATACTCCACGTGATGGTCTCCTAGAATAGTATTCTGGCATTATCAGGATCTGATATTTTACTAATTTGAATATTCAAGCAGAGCGCGGATGTTGCTGGGATTCTTCGCTCGGTGACACTTGCAAAGGTCTTGGGAATGAAAGTTGAATCTTAGGGCGTAGGTTTGAAGATCTGGATGGAACAAGCGAAACGTAGCAACACAACTCCGACTATCTTTCTAGGCTTTAAGTTGTAAACAAGGATGATCCAATTGAGGGAGACTCTGACTTTGACACATGCAGATTTGCAGGTTGAGAAGTGCGAGCTACATGGGGCTCTCGGGTGCACGAGACGCAGCGATATGGGTGCACTGGCATTCTTCCTGTCCCGCTTGATCTGCGTAACTGATGAGATGCAGCAGTTACGTGGGCGGTTCGTGTGCAAAATTAACTCCTACAAAAAGGAATCCATAAGCGTGGTTGGGGGTCTACATGCACCAGCAAGTAGGAACGGAGAGGAGATAAACCACAAATAGCGACTAGGGACCCTGACCATTCTACAGCCTGCAACAACGCCCTTTGAACTGCTGGATTCCTATGCCAATCCCTGCAGAACCTCATGAAATGGTTGTAACTACCCAACTGCAGCAAGCCCTAAATCAAAGGGTCGTAAGCCCAGAAACTTTAAACCCTGAACCCCACAACTCTAAACGCTCGAACAAGTAGATAGTCCAGTTTCCATTTCATGTTCCATCTTTTTGTCCGTTTGAAACGCGACTATTGGTATGAAAGGGCACATGTAGAATCCCCGTCCCCTTAGGATAAATTGCATCC